AATCAAATCGATTTATTATTTATCTATTTTTAGTAAAATTCATAAAAATTTACCAAAATAAAATTGAAAAAATAAATTTTCCAATTTTATTTTTGGCGAAATGCCTAATTTGTCGAAATAGCCCTTTCGTATTTAGGCAATAAACTATAAATTTTTAAAATTTTTGCTAATTTTTTAATATATATTATATTTATGTAAGAATAATATAGCCTTATAAGCATATCAGCGACAATTATTATAAGTTGTTGTAAGCGAATGAGATCATTTCTATGAGCAATTCAGCTGATAAAACATTATGCAAGGTGAATCTACAATTTCGACTATTCCGACTAATTAATATTTAATTTTTTTAATAAAATCCTAGTTTCCTATTGATTTTATTTGTGAAGAATTCCTCGGCTTTCCCGATTTCAGAAATTCTAACAGAAAATTGGCTTTTTCTTCTATTTTCTTTTTCTTCATATATTTATATATGTATATTTCTAATTAATAAATATTAATTAAAATTAATAAATATTATTTTTTCCTAAACTTTATAGACTTTATAGACTTATAGACCTATAAATATTATAGACTTTTGATTTTGCCATAATAATTTTTAATAATGAAAATAGTGGCTTTGCTTGATTTCATTAGGTATTCGATTAGGTATTTTTCACTATTTGTTGTCTGACTTTCTAATTCGTCAATTTTTCAATTTATTGTATACTATAAAAGTTTCGCTCAGTTCAAAATTTTTTCTTTTTCATATTCATTTCATTTATTTTATTACCATAGAAGAATATTAAAAATATTAATTAAGAATATTAATTAAGAATTAAGAATATTAATATTTTCAATGGCTATTGTAAAGAGATAAACGATGATTTTTATAAAATTATAAAAATTAAAATATAAAATTTTTTTTGCTATTTTTATTTTTTTTTTTTTGAAAAATTCCTTTCGACATTAAAAAAGTGAAAATTTTCAGCTGTTTAAAGAAATTTAACAAATTTAATAGGAAAGAAAATGGTAAATTTTAATATTTTTATTTTAGTTATGTGAAGTCGACCAACTTATAAAAATAAAAAATCGCAAAATTTTAGATTTTAAAAAAATGTTTCGAGACTGGATTGAATGAAATATTTTTAAATATCTATTTCATTTGAGTCATTTGAATCGTACTAAATTCGTTTATTTTGAGAAATATAAATTAATATTTGGTAGATAAATTTTTTAAGAGTTTTTAAGCAATTTTTTCTTTTTTTCAAAATCGATAATTTTGTAAAATTTAATAAATAAGCAAAAATTTATGCATCAACTTATGATGCATAAATTTGATAAGTTTTAAATTATATTTTTAATTATCGTGATAAATCTGGAATTGACGAATTTTGTATCGCATGAATGATAATAAATGCAAAATTTTCAAAAACCTTTCAAAATTCTCCATTTTCATCAAATTAGCTTCGCATGCATATTAATAATCATGAAGGAAGTAAATTGGCTCATTGGGATGCTCTCATTTCGAAAAATCGATGCTGGCGTTCTACTATCGCAAGAAAAAACTGTTCATCTGGGTAGTGCTAGCAAAATACCTATTTGTGTTTCTATCGTCGAATGGATGACTTCCTGGCAAAAATTGTCTGGTCAAGCCAATTGTCAAGCCAGTGGAATGAGGCCAACTAGAAATAGTGGTGAGTCATAGAAAAAAAAAAGAATTTAATAATTGAAGAATTTAAATAAAATTTACAACCTTTTAATATATCTCAGTTGGATTTTTTTAATGAAAATTCCATGTGACAATGGTAAAATAATTTCATAAACTGAAATCAATCATATAATAAAATAAAATTCATTCGTTCCATTATCTCAAAGCGAGTTCATTAAATCGGTCGATGTATAATTTAAAATATTTTTTAAAACTATGAAGCGACGAAGTTACGCCTAAAATAACATTTATTCATTCGCATACTACTATTAAATTAGCTATTAGCCGGCATAAAAAAATTTTTTCCCTTCATTTTTTTCTAAAAAAATATATTTTTTTCATGCATGTTTTTCCTAATAGCAACAGCAACTATTTCTGGTTAGGCTTACTAGGCTCACTTCTAAGATGAGGCTCTCTAGCCAGAGAATTATCTAGGAGTATTAAAAAACTGGTCTATACTGACTGATTATTTCTGATTCGTCGCTTAATTAGTTTCCTAGTTGGTCAAATATTCTTTCTGGTCACTTACTGATAGAAGGCGATAAGCTTTCTTTAAATGAAAGTTTTAAAGTTTTATTCCCATCGAAGAAAAGGTAATTATAGTTTGAATAATTAAAATATTTTCTAAAGAAGCACAGAATTTAACTGAAAATTTTACTGTATTTTTAATGTATTAACTATTCATTTAGACGAGCGACAAAATTTATGACTCGAGTTTATCATATACGTAAGAAAAATTTCATAATATTAATCAGTATTACTATTATTATCAGCGTACTTGCGTATGAATGCCTCAGGCATTATTTGCCTATCAGTACGGAATTTCATAAAACGTACAATTCAAGAAAAGTTGGACAAAATTTTGAATTAACAAAAAAAATTAACTGGTATGATAATATGCTTGCTCGAAAGAAGTAGGAATTTAATTTTTTTATTATTCATTAATTATATATATAATCTATTATTTTAATTTTATTTTAATTATTTTATTATTATTATTTTAATTTTGTATTATTACTAGTGATAATTATTATGGATTCTTAAATATTTAAATATTAATATTTTAATAATTATTGTAATAATATAAAAAATTCTTTTTTCACTTGTGGTCGGCTTAAGTCATCCTCAGCTCTACCATAGGCCTGAACTTGTTGAGAATATTGCAGTGGGGTAGCAATGCGCTTCTTCTGGATAGAGATGCTCTAGAATCTAGAATCGCTATGTTGACGCTAATTTTTTAAGTTTTGTGATTATAATTTCTGATACTCCAGTATTATCAATTTGAAACGATTTTAGCGTCTGCGCTTTCCACATTTTCTCTAGACCATTTTTCAGCCTAATATTCCTGCCAATATTACTGTTATATTTATCACCAGTGTTGATATTTGGTTATTGTCTGCAATGACGACATTTGATAGGCCAGTAATTTTCTATCCGTCTTGAGAGGATCAAAGCCATATACTCTGCAGATTTTCTATAGGTAATGCTTATTTCAGCCTATAAGAATATCTGCTGAGTATTTCACACCCTACCACTATATGTGGAATTGTTTCTGTGATGTTTTTAGGCAATCTGCGGACTGAATCCTTTCTAGTATGGTCTGCCTAAATGGATCTGCTATATCTATATCAGTACTTACACTCTTTGTGCTAAAAATTGTATAGTAAATGAGAGTTAAACAGTTTCTTCCCATTACGCATCGTTAAAAAAAGAAGGTTGTTTCAAAAAAAGATTTGATATAGAGAATTATATATTAAAACTGCGAAAGGTCTTGCAAAATATGACGATTTGGAGAAAGAAATATTCGTTCAACACGGCTATCATATAAAACATTGCGAAGAACCTTTCCCTATATTAGAGCAATTGAAAAAGCAAACATGTGCCGAGGTTTGCTTTATTTTCATCTGTTGCATGATAATTATTATCGAATTTTTGGCCAGAAAAAATATTGCCGTCAACTACGGTTGCAATAAGGAATAGGAAATGTTTAAGTGGGCAATGGTTCCGATTGCCTAGAGGGCTTATGGGCTTAAATCCGTAGACATGAGTAAAGTTGCTATTAAAAGATTTTGGCAATCTGTTAGCAATTTTAGCGCCATGTGGATTCCTAGAATAGATTTCTAACCATAAAATGTTAAATGTAAATAAAAATGTTACGTTCTGCCAAGGATAATTTTCTTGGAGCAAGAGATAGATTCATATCGACCTGTAAAATAATTGAAAATGAAACAGAGAATCGCTTGGCTTACCAGTTTCCTTCTGCTGGATTAAAAAATTCTCACTATACTTAACAGAGTCATTATCCACTCGATTATCCTATGTTTTGCATTCGCAGAATCGATTTATTTTTTAAGGTTTATACAGACTGGTTTAAAGTTGCAAAAAAATACGATCCAAACTTAAAGCCACCTGAAGAAATTCCACAGTCATATCGAGATATGTTCACGATGAATGGTCATGCAATCGCTACGAAACAGTATATAAAATCTATTTTGATATTTTAAAAATGTGGGGAACTCAACCATAAAGCATATTCTAGGCCATCAGTTTTTGTCAATTCGCTCAGGCAAAGATAAATTCGATGCCAAGAAATTTGAGCCTAAAAAATCTCAAATTCTACCTATCTTTTGTGGAAATTTATTGTGGAGAATAATTTATAAGAAATTTTTTCGACTAAAAAAGTCTTTTTTTTTATAAAATAATTTTATAAAAATTAAACGAATAAATCTTCTGATAAATAAGAATTAAATAGTTTCTTGTAAAAATAAAAAAATTTACACGATTCATAATCGTTTCGACAGTATAATTTTAAGTTATTTCGACGATAGAGGAGTTTCTGTTATACCTATTTGGACTGAAATGTTTATTGCTGAACTTCTCAAAAATCATCCATATTTGTACAAAAGCTATGGAGATGAAGGAAGTATGTTCATTTTCATTAAACATATCGTTCGGTGAGGAATTTTTTGTGAATATAATCACGGTTTAGCCTTAAATTTGAAGGATTTTATTGCAACTTTCGTTTGTGCACGCAGCATTTTTTTTATTCCATGCCTTTTCTTTTCAAAATCCCCCGTAAATTTGGTAACTTTTTTTCCATTTTGTAATGCTTTTGGCAGCGATAATATTTTTTATATTATTATCAATATTTTTACAATATTTTTTCATTTTCATATTAATTTGAATTTTCATAGAAGTTCAAATTATGATATTATTTAATACCAATTCCATTTTCAACAGTTACTCCAATTATTATAAAATTAGATTGAAAATAATGATAATAGGAAATAAAAATCTAACACTGAAGAACTTGATTACGTGGACTTATTGCAGAGGCTGTACATGTGGCGACAAAAGCTTTCTCGGTTCAAGACAAAGTTGGCTTAGTAATTGGATCAATTAGCCCATGGGTAGAAGTTATGTGTCTTAGAAATGGCGCTAAAAAAGTATTTTTTCCAATAAATATTGATATGAATATGAATATTGCTTAAACAGTCATAACAATCGAAACAGTCATAAATCGTTTTTTTCGGATTTTCGGATTTTTCGGATTTGTTCAATATTTTTACCAAATTTGGCCAAATTTTTCTCGTACGCCAAATATATGTTTCTGATTAGAGTAAATAACGATATCAGCAATTATCGACAAAATGTTAACAAAATATCATGGGGCCTATTGAAAATTTATTTGAGGTGATTACCGTTGATTACTACAATTTAACAATTCGACATCCACAAATGCAATATTATCATGCATTACAATTAGCGAAAAATTGGGCAAAGTTAGTTAACTTCCTTTCTAATTTTATATGATAAGAATAAAAAGTAAGCAAATTTTGAATAGAGTGATTTTCAGTTTGATAAGAATTTCAAAATTATTGTTCGTTGAAATAAAATTATTTAAGATTTTTTCGGCAATTTTCAATCTTTTAACATTAACAAATCAGACAATAATTTCTTCGGCTGAGACTTATTACATAGAAATGCGAGGCACTTTTACTCGGAGCTTATTTATTGCACTTTAAGTTATTCGGAGGCTTTCGATTTTATTGTCACATTTTCCAGTATCGAACATAGCGGTCTTGGACGATTCGGCGATCCGATAGGTTTTCAACAAATTTTTTTGCATCATTTTATTATAATTCTAACATTTCAGTACTATTCAGTACCATGCTTGTTAGGAAATAATCAGTTGAATTTGAAATTTTCAGATCCGCTAGGAGATATACGAGAAATGCGGAAAATTCGATGTTTGCTAAATAACAATGGTTTTTTATTCTTAGGTATTCCGATTGGTGTGGATCGAATTCATTTTAATGCAGATAGAGTATATGGACAAATACGATTAGCAATGCTTCTTGAAGGTTTTCAGCAATTTTTTAGAGATTTTCTTTGGAGAAGAAAAATGCTCTTTTTTATTTCCTTCAAAGATTCATTGAGATTTTTCATAAATTTCAGGTTTTAAAATAATTGGCATTTTTTTACATGAAGAAATAGTCGAGATGAAAAATATAAAATTTGGATTTGAACCTCGTCAATATTTATTCGTATTAAAAAAAACACCTATTTGATTTTTTTCCATAATTTAATTCAACTTTTTTTCCTGAATTATTCTCATATTCTATACATTATTTTATATATATGGCGATATAGTTGAATATATACATAAGATTCAGTTGTTTTTTGTTCCAATGGAAATTCACTGAAATAAAATGCCTTCGAGAAAAAATAAAAAAAAAACGAAAAAGTAAAAATTAAAAAATCACGGATAGGTTACATAGGTCAAATTATATAATAATTTGCTACATTAATGTGTCGATAAGTAAGCTTAAAAAATGTGTATGATTAAAGCCATGGTCTCAACTGAGGAAAAGTCGCAATAAGTTTCTTCATTCATTTTCTTTTTTTTCTTAAAGCTATACTATTGCTGATTAAACTGGTTCCCTGGATGAAAGAATAAGCACTTTTGGGCACAAGTTCACAGCAGGTAATAAGATTTTAGTAAATTGCTGTGATGCACTTCGGCCAAAGTCGAAAGTTGACGCTTTGTGATGCACATATATATCACTATGCACATATATAATACATATGATAATCAAGCGATGGTGATACAATCATATCTAATTTATCATAGGCAAAGGTATTATAAGTAACTTATTGATATCCCCCCGTCCCATTTTAGACGTATTAAAGGATTGCAGCTAAGTAAATATAAAGTAGTTTTGATGGTGACAATTCGCAAACATTTCCGGAAAATTGGCTGCTGCTATTTGACTGAAATTTCTTCTTTGGCTTGACCATTTGGTGAAGAAATGCACTACAGAAGAATATATATTGAACAAGAATATATACTGCTTAGTAAGAATAGGTACTATAATTTGCATTAGTAAGAATAAGTATTATAATTTATAGGCGTTTGGTACAATAAGGAATTCGTTACATACGAGTCATTTTCGTTATATTTATTAATGCACTATCTGCAATTTTTCAAAATGTTAGCAAAAAAGGAGTGAAAAGGCATCAAAAAACCAAATTTTTCATGCTACGAGTTTATTCCAATTTGATATGCTATACTATGGACTGACTTGTACACCCCTTTGAATGCCGACAAGCAGTGTCTGTAAAGAAATCTATTGAAGAACATAGAAAAGAGTCTTGATGAGTACCAACTTTGAGAAAGAATATATTTTGATCGATTAGAAAAATGCGTTTCCAAGTCCAAATTCGACGATATTCCTGAAAGTAAAGTATTTTTTTTCCTTGGTCCTATATATAGCTATGTATTCAAAATTTGTTATTTGTGTTGGCAGATCGAAATTGCAATTATCTAGGATTACAGGTGGTACACTTAGTCTCACGGAACGATCTCCACCATACAAGACAGTTTTGGAGGACCCTGACAAATGACAAATAGATATATAATGGCTGCTTCGAATTATTCTATAGGCCTCGTCCTGAACAATTATTGTTTCATGGAAAAGTCGTAATATTGAGAATTGTTATTGATCATCTAGAGCAGCTACCATAATGTTCCAATTGTAGTTTCTAAAGGCAAGTGCTGAACTATTTTACTAAAATCTCGCGAAAAACTATGATTTTCTCCATTCACCCACAATAATTCAAGCGCATCGAAATAATAATGATCAAATAAATAAATGATCAAATAAATGATCAAATTATGAACCAAAGTTTATGTATGCAGCCAAAAAAAATATTATAAAATTTAGACATTTAGATATTTTAAATTTAGACATTTAGACATTTTAGATATTTAAATTTAAAAATTTTTTCTTCATTAATTTCAAATATCTTTGAAAAAACTTGAGAAAAACAATGAAAGCTGGCGAGATACGGGATGTTGACTGAATTTATTTTTTAAATTTTCCATGTTTTATTAGTTATAATTATTTAATCAGAGATCAAACTTTGTTCGCCAATTATCAATTTTGGGCATTTTGGTACTGAAGTACACTTGAACAGGCCTGTATTTTCATTAATAATTTTCCTATTTTGGTTTTCCTTTTCTGATCCTCCTGGCTTTTAATCTCTGACCGAGAATCATCTAGAGACACAAGTTCATCTGTAATTTTGCTTTTTTATGCCCAGTATAAAAAGCGATCGTTTATCAGCTTGGCCTTAATCGAAACAGCTTATTACTTGACAATTTTGGTTCTAATTTTTGTTTTTTGCTTAGTTCCCATTATTTTGTATAATTCAATAAGCCAATTTTTTGTTTGGGATTCTCAAAGTTTCATTCGAAAAAAGAAATGTATTGAAAAAAAGTGCGAATACATTATCGCAAAAATTTTTTATAGATTTTTTGCTTTTGGCTAAGATTTCTTGTCGCTATTACTAAGAATCACAATGTTAATTAACGTGAAATGATATTAAATGAAATGATTAAATATTAATAAACTTGCAGAATTGTATGCCTCTTAAAGGTCTCCATAAACTAGCCTTTTTATTGGCCCTCATCTATCTTCTCAGAAACAGTTACTGGAACTATAATAATAGAAGCCACTGTATTATGACATCGAATCAAACAGATCGACGAAGACTTACTCTTGTAACGATCGAAGGCAGCCTGACCGACAATGGAACTGTTAGAAGAAGAAGAGATATATATCTATAACAATCATATTTGATGGTACTTCAGATCTTGCACCAAATTTCGGCTGTTTTTTCCTATGTATTTCGAAACAGAAAAAAATCACCTATTTAAGCAAACTGTCCCAAGTGCTAATAAAGATTTAGTACGGAATTCCAGTTATTGCAGTTAACAGGCCTCTTATAGCAATTATCTATCGATAATTTTATGCAACAATTAAAATTACGCAATATTATAATCTATGATGATTTAATTAAGTGCTCAATATATTTGTAACAACCACGAAAAAAAGGGCAAAATAAGATAAAACATTAAAAAAAAGCAAGGAAACTTGGATGGCGAGGATTACAACAATAAAACTTTTAATGAACCAAAAACCAATAAATCTCTCGACCAGTTCACCTATACCGCCGCACATAAATTTTTATCAATTTCTTATGAAATTTAATTAAATGATAAAATATCGAAAAAAAATTTAAGAAAAGAATGCATAAAGAGAGAAAATTTCGCTATAAATTTATGCATCTACAACTATCGTTTTGAGGAACTTTTATAGGCAAACGAAAATTATTATAAGCTTTCATCACAATCAACAAATTGTTTATCAACAATTGATTAATATTTTCCTAATTTTCTTTTCTCGAAGGCATATTTAAGTACATATTTTATTTTTTGAATATAGCTAGCGGAAAAATAACGTTTCATGTTATTTTGCAGAAATTTTATATCTATAAAAGCTCTATAAATAAAATAAATAAAATAAAATAACTAAAATTTTAATAAATTTTACATTGATTTATGAAAATCGTATTAAATTGCGTTTTTGAAGTAATTTTTTCAGTGATTTTTTATAATTTTTAATTTATTTCTATGATTATTTTCATTTCTTTAGATTTCACCAAGCAGTTGATCTGATATCACATTTGATATCAAATTATTGTCGATTCGTCCACTAATACAAACGATTGGTAATTAATATTGATAAAAAATAATAAATTATTGACAATATCAATTGTAATATTATTATTATTAATACAAATAAATATATAAATTCACAAATAATGAATAATTATAAAATGTATAAATTAATGCAATTCATATTTAAAATAAAGGTTAAAATAATTCTAATGATAAAATGAGCACTTGGAACTGTGATCCCTAAGCGGTTTCAGCAGGAACATTCCAGGAACAACATCAGAGATTATTTATCTCTATTATTCCATTATCTAACTCTGTTCAGGAGAGTCCACTATTAAAAATTTATAATTAATTAATTAGTAATTAATATAATTGATTTTAAAATAAACAATGTAATAAGCAATACGCAATTTTGCGAACATTCTAATACTTTAATAATTACAGGAAATGGACTAAATGAAATTATTATAAGATTTTAAATTTTAAATTTTAATAAATTATCAATAAATTATCAATTATTAACAATAATTTTTGTTCTTATACATAGAATTAAAATTTTATATAATGGGAAAAATGGAAAATAATTTCGTTCCATTTTTATTATTTATTTATTTTTCATTTCTTTTATATTTATTATTCATAATAAAATTTTAAAATTAAAATTTTAAGGAGAGCTCATCGCTCTCTATTTCTATCAGTAAGTAACTAACCAAAAAGAATATTAGAGGGACGAACCCGAAATAGTCAGTCAGTATAAACCCTACTGAATAATTCTTTGGTTGAAGAACCTCAATTTAGTGGTAATGAGCCTAGTGAGCCTAGCCAGAAATAGTTGCTATTAGAAAAAAAGAAGTAGCAAATGCATATGAAAAAAACATTTTTTTTTGAAAAATTTAGAACAATTAATAGTTAATTTAAATAACAGATAAGAGTATCATTAATGTATTTTATGCTATGTATTTTATGTTGGGAAGAATTTCTTCAACTTGCATATCTCCATATATCTAAGATTTGTTCGAAATCTTCTGATTGGTATTTTTCAACATTTTCCTCAAAACAACTCATGAATCAACATGAGTGGACTATCTGAAACTTATTCCAGAATTTCATTTCCAAAAAAATGATCTACAAAACTTTCCATGATTATCTTTCGTATGTGGTATGAAACGAAATCCAAATAAATATAAATTTCTGCCATTTGGCGATGAATTGTTCAACATCGCGCGATAATTTGAAATATTTAGCACCAAGAAAGTGGTCATTTTTTCAAACCCTTCATTAAATTTAGCATAGCCATTCATTGTACATATTGTATAAGTCTTTTGAAATTTGTTGGTGATATCAAGAATCTACTTTCGTGGACGACCATTCTGTGATTATCTAAAATAATAAAAACAAGGACTACTTTACTAATTTGCAAAGCAACTGTACTTTACAAAGTTCTTTATAATTGGCCATGGCGATATGCAAAAATGACGACAGTTTTTTCTAAAAGTATTCATCACTGCTGGATAGGGCGCATTCAACTCGTTTGTCAAACCAGAC